TTATTTTCGTTTTGTTTATGATTTACTTCCTTAATTATTGATAGGATGGTATCTGTCCTTAGTATTTATTTACAAGTAATATGAATTGAAACATGTTGATACTTGTGTCACTAAGTGATAGTATATTCTATTATAAGCTATCTGTATATATGTTTTCTGATTGCTAAAAATACTGTGTAACTTAATGATATATGTTTTATAAATTAGTGACATTGACCATTTGATTGTATTGTATGCTTTGTTATATGCACTGTGTATATGCATGGGCATATTGCCCAAATGTACTTTGAAATAAACTCTTGAAACTCGTATTCTTAAACACTAACCTATACATGTTATACATTTTGCATCAGGGGAAACCGGGCGATAACATTTGCCGCCCAGTGATAAATTAAAATACACTTTTGATATCACATTACTTTTAAACGCACAGTTGATAACAAATGAACCAACAATTTTGCTTTGATACCTTGTCACGTTAATAACAAACCTACGTGAGAACATTTAGTTTAGAGCATGAGAACTTTTAGAATTGATGACAGAAACGAAATGACATTTTGATGTTTTATTAATTCAAGATGATTAGATTTTAATACATGAAGAAAAGATGGGACTATATCAAAGATTTCAATGTAGACATATTATGATTATTGATGAAACAGTTTTCATACAAATTCTAAGTACTATCATCTATAAAGTTTATAGTATAAATTTAATTTCAGAAATTGATTTTCAATTTTAATAAAGCAAAGATGGGATGTAGTATCCATACAATAATTATATGATGATGTATCCAAGTACGGGTAGTGTACTACTCAGATATTGTATTATGGTCCTCAAGAGTTGGAATTTAAACTTTTAGACAAGATATAAACTGGTGTTATGACTTTTAAATGTTTGGACAAGAAATACGTTTTATGACTCCTAAATGTTGAGATTTTAGCTTATAGTTAAGATATATGTATTATGACTCTCAAGTGTTGGGATTTTTACTTATAAATAAGATATATAATGGTTACTTCGAAAAATTTAGTCCCTCTGATTCAATCATTATCACAGGTCAAGCTCATACCTAGTCAAATAGAATAGAGAAAAACAGAATCCCTAAAGAATGTCCAACACAACACAATTGAAAATGTTGCAGGCTCTCTGGGTGGCGGAAGGTTCCCTTTGTGGCGGTTTTTACCTCCCAGTTTGGTTATTTCGATACAAAAATGTACATGCCATGTTTGTTATTATGTAACATTTGTCATTTATGGCATTTAATAAATGCCCTATTTCATCACGGATTTATATTACTGTAATATAAATCCGTGATTTCATTTAACCTAAGTGTTGTGTTTTATCTCATATTAAACAAGTTCGTCTTGCCAGTTATATTTGCCCTACATCAAGTGGTACTAGACACAAGATAAAAGGGCACAGGTTTCCAAACTATGGTTTTTCCTGGGCGAGTCGACCACGATTTGGAAAATATTGTTTGTTCAATTGTTTTTGATCAGCAATCCTTATTATTATATTTGTGTAGATGGTTTTTGGTTCAACTTTTTCATCTATTACAACTTTTGCTAAGATTGTTATCTATTTGATAGTTTATTTTGATTTTGTGGTTAATCATTACATTGCAATATATATCATAATCTGGCGGTTTTTACCTCCCAGTTTGGTTATTTCGATACGGCGGTTTTTACCTCCCAGTTTGGTTATTTCGATACAAATATGTACATGCCATGTTTGTTATTATGTAAAATTTGTCATTTATGGCATTTAATAAATGCCCTATTTCATTCAACCTTAGTGTTGTGTTTTATCTCATACCAAACAAGTTCGTCTTGCCAGTTATATTTGCTTGACCTGGACAATACATAAATGTATAAATATATTTATGTGCATCAGTTTGCCGATAAGCAGAAAAACTGTGTACTAGTATGGGGAGAACAATAAAAACAACTACAGTATATGAAGTTGAAAATGGGCAAAACTTATTATGCCATTAGAACAAATATCTATTAAGCAAAAGATATCCCCATATCTGGCTGGAAAAAAATCCGCCATTACAATAACAATATGAAATACAAAATAAAAGACATAGAAATAATATAAAAAAGCTCAAAATAATAGCTAAACATGTGTTACAGTAAATTAACGAGGAGGTAAAAAGGGAGGTGGTGGATGAAAAATTAGTCAAAAAGCAGGAATATGTCTAGCAATATGAAACACGCAAGAACGTTCTGAAAATATTCTTTGTTATGAAGAAGCTGCACGCTGATTGGTCGATAATGATCACGTGCAAGCAGGACACTTTCTGATTGGCTATTGAACTACATAATAAATTAACAGAAAAGCAAAGTGGTGTTTAATTACCGAAATGATAACTTGTGTTTAAGAAAAGAAATTAGCCACAAGAACGTTCTGAAAAATTTCTTTGTTATGAGGAAGCTGCACGCTGATTGGTCAATAATGATCACGTGTATGCAGAACGCTTTCTGGTTGGCTATTGAACTAAATAATAAATTAACAGAAAAGTAAAGTGGTGTTTAATTACCGAAATGATAACTTGTGTTTAAGAAAAGAAATTAGCCACAATGACATAAAAGATTTTATCTAGCTATAAAAAATATATATATTTAAACCTTGCTGTAATATGATTCTGTTCATATTAAACCAAACTTATGTCGCAAATATACAGTAAATGGTTAAATATTAATGTTTCTATATAGTTTAATACCTTGAATTAGTTTCTTAAATGGTATGTTTGTATAATATGGGCTAGTGTACTTCATGGGTTTAAATACCTCACAATACATATTTAATAAAATTTAAAAAAATTTCTTGTATTAATGAAACTCCAAATGTACGGGCGAGGAAATCCTGAGTTCGAGTTTCCGCTTAAAATCATTAAACGCTTTAGTGTTGAAATTCAAATCCTGTTTGTAACTGAACAGCCGGTGTTTGAATTCCTTTTTATTGGCGTTTTTGTTAATTATTTCATGGTTTCGTTAAAAAATTAAAAGGGGGGAAAAATTTAAAATATTTTATGAAAACCCTTTTTAAATAGAGGGGGTAAAAAATTTAAAAAAACCCTTCATTTTTTAAGGAAAATAAAGGGGGTCATCCTTAACCCGCAATTAAATTCTTTAAAGGGCGGGGGAAAGGGAAGTCATTTAAAAACCCCTTTATTTTTCATGAGATTTTGTGAAAAATGGCTGTTTTCTTAAAAAGTCCCCAAATTAAAATTTTAAAAATTGCTAAAAAACTAAAAAAAAATGCCTTAAATAACAAACCCCCAAACTTGGCAAAAAATTGTTGACTAGACCATTGAGCCTTTGTATCGACATGCTAAAGGTTCTTAAATTTCCTGGTTTCCCCATGGAAAACGAGGGGCAAAATTTTTAAAATTTGCCAAAAAAATCATTTATTTTCATTTAAATTTTTTCCTCAAAAATTTAAAATTTTAAAGTGCTGAAAATTCCCCAGGGAAATTGTACGGTAAACAAAAGGTGACATGTGTGTATTTTTTTTTTAAATTTTGGGGGCCCAAACGAGTACTAAAATGTGTGGCCACAAAGTACATGTGGGGCCCACGAGTACTATGTCGGGGCCACGAGAAAAGTTTAAAAAGTTTTTCCCAACGAGAAAGCAAGTCGTGCCAAACGAAAATAGCAAAGGGTCGGGGCCCGAAAAATTCCCAATTTTACTAATGTCCTGGCACAAATTACAAAGACCGTTGAACAAGATAGTTTAAGTCGGGGCCCAGAATTTTAAACAATCAGAATCACAAATTTTATTTATAAATTTTTTAAAATTACAATTAAATTTTAAAACCATGGAACATTAATTTTTAAAAATCCCTTAAGATTTTTAAAATTTAAACCCTTGCCCTTTAAATGATCATAATTAAAAAAGTCATCTTCCAATCCCTAAAAAATTTAAATTTCCAAAAGGCCCTTTAAAGACTTTAAATTTTTGCCTAAGCTCTTGTTGGGAAAAATTTTGAAAATAATTTATCCAAAAAACTATTTTTACCCAAAGCGATCTATTGAACCCAAATAAAAATAAAATTAAGGCAACATAAAAAAAATTTGAAAAAATAGTATGATTTTTGTTTTTCTTAAAAAATTACCCCTCTTTAAATTTTTAAGAAATAAGCTTTTCCTTTGGATGACAAATAAATTTGGGACACAAAAAGAAATTAAATATGTAATATGGCAAGGAAAAAATAAACACTGGCTTTTCGGTACAGCCCGGGAATTTTCTAGCTTTCCCCGGGTAAGTTTTGGGCGGAAATTGGCAGAGCCCTGGGTCTGTACCCGGCACCCAGTGAAAAGATTTTATAGTCCGTCCATGAAAAAGGCTAAAATCAAACCGAGCCTGCAACATCTTCAATTTTGCCGTGTTGGGCTTTCTTTAGGGATTCTTCTTTTCTCTACTTTATTTTTATTTTATGGGGACATTTCATTTTTGCATAATTTACAGTCATATATATATACATGTACAAGTACAAGATTATTAAAAAACACGTTAAGTATTGTTCACAGTCGTTTTCGTTGCTTCCTTTCGGGGGGATCAGCCATTCTTTAGATTTTTTCTTCTCTTAGGGAATTAAAATTCGAGAAGTATTAAGGTAAACTTATAGTGAAAAGTGCTGACCAGTTAAATTTATAAAATATATGATGTTTTTCCGCAGTTTTCGATAATCCTTCCGTATTTTACTGGTTCATTCTATAGATTTAACTCATTATAGGATTGGAGCAGTACCTAGCTCTAGATGCTTGCAAAATTCATGATCACAAAATTATAGACAAATGTCGTTTTTTTTTTCGCCGATTATTATATTTCTCATTCATTATTATGAAAAGGATGAATTAGGCCCTTGTTGGGTAAAAGCATGCGCATTGTCCGGTATATACCGGAATACGGTATTTAGTGTGGTTCTCCAATCCTTTTTTAGTGATATCATTAGGTAATTTCGTCAGAGGTTTAGTATAAGATAGTATAGTCAGGAAGTAGTACGACCGAAGTTGTACCGAGGATAAGTGTAATGATTATAGAATTTGTTTGATTTAAGAACACTGAACACAGAAGCGATTCACGTTAAATAAAAGTAACTGCGGATTATTAAACAGTAAATTATTGATCATTTCTTTTTCTTTTTATTCATTTTATTGGTAGAAATTCAAATAGAAATTAGCTCATTGATCATCTTTTGGGATTCCATGACGGCATGAAGAAACTCCGACGTAGCTACGGTAGTGGTTTCCCTTTGTTTTCATAACGATTTTGGGATGTAACTCAATACAGGATTGGAGTTAAACTCCCCGCAGCGGTTACTTCCCCTGATCAGTATAGAAAACCACTGCCACAAGAGAACTGGGTTGTCAGGGTGGTGTTTGGACTTTACACCTCCTGGATGTTTCACCCCTAGACGTTTCACCCTCAAAACCCTGGTCTTTTCATCTCCACTTTTTATAATATTATATATAATATAACACATACTTTCAAGCAATTACATTCATGATATAAAGAAGATACCCTGGGAAAATAATTATAAATATGAGTTCTGAAAGAATTATCAGCTATAAGTCTACATGTATATATCATTTCATTTTTTTTGTTATCCAAAAATTAAATACCATAAAAAAGTTGATTAATTAAAATATGTTTTTATATAACAGATAAGAAAAATGAGAAGTGTGAAACAATTTTGAATAAAGCATTTTATTACATGCTTTTCGGTGGTTTATAGAAATATATCAGTAATATTAAATTGGTAATTTCACTGTTAGAAACAGTGAAATTACCACTTTGATAATTTCACTGTTTTGAATTTAAGCCCCTTACGTTGTTTCAGTGAAATACCAGCGTGCACAGTACTGGGTACCAACTTAATGACGTGACGTCATAAATGACGTCATGTTGTATTATTATTTGGCGCGCTTTTCATTCAGTATTAGGTTTAATGTCTTTTTAAAACGTTTCTTTGCATGTAATAAAAAGAAAATTTGTTTAGTTTAGTGTAAGATCGAAATATATTTTTATTTTTCTTTAGTTTCACCATACCGTAACATGAGATATAATCAAGGGAAATATTATTTAAAATGATCTGTATAACGATAATACAAACACAATAGCTTAAATGTTTTTGTGTAACAATAGGTTATCGTATTCAGAATCTAAATTGTAGTATCGCGTGATCAATTAAGTCCTTTAAAAGTATTTCCAAATGCGCATTATATCAAATGTTAAAGAAAATAATTTTTATCTTTAACAATGTTTTTTTTTTCAATTTTCGGTGGTTTATAGAAATATATCAGTAATATTAAATTGGTAATTTCACTGTTAGAAACAGTGAAATTACCACTTTGATAATTTCACTGTTTTGAATTTAAGCCCCTTACGTTGTTTCAGTGAAATACCAGCGTGCACAGTACTGGGTACCAACTTAATGACGTGACGTCATAAATGACGTCATGTTGTATTATTATTTGGCGCGCTTTTCATTCAGTATTAGGTTTAATGTCTTTTTAAAACGTTTCTTTGCATGTAATAAAAAGAAAATTTGTTTAGTTTAGTGTAAGATCGAAATATATTTCACCTTGTGAACACCAAAAGTTCATATTTCACTCGTGGCTGCGCCACTCGTGAAATATAACTTTTGGTGCTCACTAGGTGAAATATATTCTGATCTTAAACTGAACTAAACAAATATCCTCTATATAAACACTGGTTCATTAATTACTAAATTAGCACCTTTAGAAGTGTGTACAAATGTAACTTGTAGTTCTTATTAGTTTTTATAAAATAGGAAATAAAATTATATGATGAAAATAACAGTGTTTATTTTAATGTTATGTTATTGTATAGTGCATACATTGTAGATATAGTAATTGACTCTGAATAAAATTTAGTAAATCTGATCATTTTGTTTTTATCTGTTTTTCATACTGTATTACATTGATTCAAATTATTGATACATATTCGGTTAATTTTATTTGAACAAGATTATCATTTTTTAAATAAAATTTCTTAATTATAAATTTCAAAAAACAAATATTCTCTCAATGTCTATCATGCAAATTTATATGATATTGAGTTATCTCAATATAATCCAATATAGGTGTAACAACTAAGGTATGTCAAACAAGTTTACTGATATTAATCCATACAGTGTATAATATCATTTATAAAAAAAATAGCCGAAACGTCCAGGAGGTGTAAAGACCAAAGGTGAAACGTCCAGGAGGTGTAAAGACTAAAGGTGAAACGTCCAGGAGGTGTAAAGTCCTGAAATCGTCAGGGTAGTCAGACTATTCTCTCCCTTACCAGTTCCTCCCCTGACGTTTCCTCCCTGACGGTTCTCTCCCTATTTTGGGGGAGAACTGTCTGCATATTTGCAAATTAGAAGACAGTTCCTCCCCATTGTTATTTTTATAATTACATTATTATTAAAGTATTTAGAATAATAATAATAAAAATAGATGATGAATAAATGGGTAAGTTTATTATGAATTGATATAAATTAGAGAAAAAAAGATTTTATTGAAGTGTTTAGATGTTAAATAAATGGGTAGGTTTATTCACAGGAACTTGAAATTCTATCAATATTAACGATAATATCCAAAATATACCCCCTATACAGTATTATTTATACTTTATTACATGCTTTTCGGTGGTTTATAGAAATATATAAGTGGTATAAAACTGGTAATTTCACTGTTTGAAACAGTGAAATTACCACTTTGATAATTTCACTGTTTTGAATTTAAGCCCCTTATGTTGTTTCAGTGAAATACCAGCGTGCACAGTACTGGGTACCAACTTAATGACGTGACGTCGTAAATGACGTCACGTTGTATTATTATTTGGCGCGCTTTTCATTCAGTATTAGGTTTAATGTCTTTTTAAAATGTTTCTTTGCATGTAATAAAAAGAAAATTTGTTTAGTTTAGTGTAAGATCGAAATATATTTCACCTTGTGAACACCAAAAGTTCATATTTCACTCGTGGCTGCGCCACTCGTGAAATGTACCTTTTGGTGCTCACTCGGTGAAATATATTCCGATCTTACACTGAACTAAACAAATATCCTCTATGTATAGGGGGTATATTTTGGATATTATCGTTAATATTGATAGAATTTCAAGTTCCTGTGGTTTATTATAAATTGTAATAAATTAGAGAGAAAAATACTTTAATGAAGTATTCTGATGTTTAATTCAAGTTTCAATTTTACAATTTTGTTAGCATCATCAGCAACAATAAATCGGTAAGTTTATTATCAAATATTAATATAAATAAGAGAAAAAAATATTTATTGAAGTATTTAGATGTTTAATAAATTTGTAACTTTATTATCAGGCCATCCTTAAAAAAATGTTGGTTTGCAGTAACGCGACCGACTCACAAAATTTGCCCCTACTCAAAATTTTTTTTCATGGTCTGGATAATTTTATTTTTTTTAATCAGAAAATTATGCCTTGTGCTTTGTTTTCGTTCTTTTAAAGGTTAATAGAAGAAATAAAATGTAGGTCTTATTAAATTAGAATTCAGTTATCAATTTATTAATTGTTACCAGATTATCAAAGCATATATTGTCCAGCATTTTGAAATTCCATGTTTATTTGGGAGTAAAAAAAAAAAAAAAAAAAAAAAATCGACCTACCTACCCACCTTGAAAATTCTGGGTCGGGTTACTGCAAACAAACATTTTTTTAAGGATGGCCTCAATTGATATAAATTGAATTAGAAAAACTTTTTTTTTAACATATAATAATAATTGATCAATGATGATTAAGTTAATTATTCTGATTTTTTAATTAGATGTAACATATACTTTTTAATGTGTTTAGTCATTGAAAATAATTAATGAATAATTTACTTGATTAGGATAATCATAAGATATTATTATTATTTTTTTTTTTAATAAATAAAAATGAAATTTATAGGCAAAAAATGATTAATAAATTCTAATTGCTAAACTTTTGTATAATGAAAAAAGTTCAATACACACATGTATGCATTAAGTTTGCTGCCAGTGATAATTGAGGTGTTTATTAATTCCTTGGTGTTGATTAGATTAGAATAGCTGTGAAAAGGTGTTGATGAATAAGTATTATATTAGTTATTTTGTATTATATATTGTTTCAAGTTAATGACTACATGTTTTTTAAATCAATTTCTTAAAAAAGTAAATGTGGAATGCGTTTGCATACCAGTTGTTGTGCATATTTATTTTCTAGAACATAATTATTTGTTTCCACCTTATTCACTATTTAACAAATAAATGAACATCACAAGCTAGACCTTAACATAATTACAGGTGTATATCAATCACTGTCCAATGATCTATATCTCTCACAATAAAGGTGTTGATAGGATTAAAATACTGAAAAAAGGTGTTAAATTTACAGGTGTTGATAGGATTAAAATACTGAAAAAAAAGGTGTTAAATTTACAAACACTTTTCAGCTGATAAACATAAAACATAAAATGCAGTTAATATCAAACACATTCTTTTAATAATCTTCATTAAGAAATATTATTAGATTAAGTCACAACTAAAATGATAACTTATAAAAATAAAATTGGGGGAGAACTGTCTGCATATTTCAAATTTGGGAGAGAACCGTCAGGGGAGGAAACGGTTAGGGAGAGAACCGTCAGGGAGATGAACTGGTAAGGGAGAGAATAGTCTGTCATTCGTTGTCAGAGAGCCGAATATATTTTTTCACTTTTAATTTTAAAATGGGATATTTTATATCATTTTAGTTTTCTTTCATTAAATTGTTTTTCTTAATGTACAAGAATGTAAAAAAATATACGTAGAAAAATGATACAAACGTAGCCTCGTTGTACCATTTCTCGAACAGTAATTTCACTTAACTGTAATTCTTTTTAGGATGTTAAGTGTCTTTCAACTTAGTAAAGTTCTTGTCTGTAGAGGCATGTATTGTGTCCGTTTTGGCCTACTTAAAATTTGTCAACATGACCTTTAAAAATGGCTGCAGTGAACTCATTTAGGTGCTTGATTAGTAGAACAAAGCTGACCCCTTGCTACCAATTATCGAACCAAGTTATTTATAGTGTACGAATAACAAGTACAAAGAGGAGATCATTTAGATTGAA